CACTTTTTGGATTCTTGTCGTTACATTTGCATTTCTGGAAACATTTTCATTCAAATGTAACATCCAAAATATTTGGAGAAATCTTTCCTTTCGAAATATATTTCGAAAAAAAGGTATGTTCCCAACATGTTTCTTAGTTCAATAATATTTCATATTAGGATCTGGTATAGTACCCATGTTAAAGATTACACCTAAAAAAGCTGTTAACTCTTCTTTCGTCACATCGATCCAGTTATTCTATGTTGATCGATCAGATAAGCTTTGCTGTTCTATTTTATTTTTGGCATATTTATTTGTTTCTAGTACAATTGTTTCAAGTAGTGTGTCTGTGAAAACGTGTCTGAAAAAGTCAATAGGTTCGGTGCAATGAACAGGTACATTAGGTCCAACAATCTTAGATCCCATCGAGAAATCGGTTTTTAATTGTGGTTGAATAAAGTTTAAGATCAGTATGGTTCCTCGTTGTGGTGGTTGAAAGCAGACACTTTAAATTTAAATTTGGCGTGCAACAGTCAGTGAAGTTCCAACAAGTTTGTACTCTTCGATAAATTAAATGTCGATAAAAACAGAAATCTTGAAAAGACATCGTTTGTTGCGCAATTAATAATGGTGTAATCTAATTTAAGATAAGAGTGCAGTAAGTTTTTTCTAATTAAAGAGTAGAAAGTCAGAAATTTCGCGTGAGACGCTGACATGCAATAAATATGTAAGCTTGTACCCTCCCATTTTGAACAAATTAATTACAGAGATTAAGTTGATAGACACAGTGAAAATGGTCATCTACTGTATTAGAGTGCTAATTATAAAATGTTAATTTTTAAACTTTTTATATTTGTTTGCTAGGTTTGTTAAATTGCACATGTTTGTGGACAGGTAAAGAAAGTAGATAGAAGTAAAAATTTATTTTGTCATTGAAAGGTTACAAATGCGTAGGAATTATTTATTTTATATGCTTTTGTATTTGTTATACATTCGTTTAGGAACATGTGTAAAAACACCTTGCGTAATTCATGTATGTTTATTATGCTTATTTTGTAAGTGCATTTGAATATTTATGAGTATAGTTCTTATAGACACTGTTATAGCAACCATCAATTTGCCAATCGGAATTATAGCCATGACCATTCGGTCTCTAAATAAAGAACACATGTAGTCATTATTGTACTTAGCAACCAGGGGTCTTCGAAATTCCCGAAGGATGGCAAATTTTCTGCCCAAATAACGGTTAACTCTGGCCTTCATCCCGCCCTTATCAATTAGCCATGGAAGAGAGGAAAACAACCATTTTTTTGAGTGCTATAAGAAGACAGAATTTATCCAACATTCAAGCTGTTCGCACGGATAGAGTTGACCTAGTATGTACCTTGTATAGTAATAACAATATATGTAGTATTCGTTTGTTCACTTGAAAGAAGGCGGTCCTTCGAACTTTGATAGTTTTTTGTCGGCACATACGTGCCAATTAAGCTTGAGCAACTCAGATTGCATTGAGTATTTAACCAGTTAACTGTGGCGATCTTTTTGCAAAGCGCGCACCTGTGTATGTTGCCATAATCAAGCGATGACAAGTTAACACTCAAGAATTTATGAATCTCAAATCATTTACGCTTTTTATTTGTTTATTTCATTTCGTGTTAACCTCTAAACATTTTAAACATATTACAATTTACGAATATAATTTAGTTTTTGCCAAAATTACAATTTATATATCAAATTGTAACAAAATTTTACGCATGATGGATATAGTCGTCAGGACACAAAATTCTGCCACATCTCCATGACGGATATAGTCGTCAAACACACTTAACTCGTTAATACAGTCTTGAGTGAAGTAAATCGATGTTAGTTGATTTTTATCTAGCAGCTGTGGCCAATGTAAAAAGCTAGCTACAGTTTATTGTAATTTAAACTGTAATTGTAATATCTAAATAATATATGTATTATTAGATATTATATACTATTATGTACATATATGTATTATGTATCATTCTTATGACATATTTTGAATATACTTACTACACATCCCATATCCGTCTCATGTAAATATTATGTACATATACAGCTTTTAAGAAGGTGTAAACCTAGTTTTATATTGTATTTTATTTTCATTTTATTTTAGACTATTTCAGTATGTAAAGGACTCGATAAAGAAGTATTATATCAAACACGCGAAAAAGTTATTACCATGTTAATCAGTCGAAATAAGCGGCGTCAAACCACAAAGTGCATTCGACAATATTTTTAAATTTATTTGACTATAATATTCTTTCCATTCTTTTTATGCAATGATAGTAAATCTAGAAAGGTACCAACCTTCTAGTTTATTTGTTATTTTATAGTCGAGTAACTACAAATCACTTAATAATTTCACTGTTATTTGCAAATTAATTACGAACGGTTTATATTATGAAAAAAATATGGTATGGAATGATTTTAACGAAAAACATAACTGCGATGCATCTCGGAATACAGGTAGGTAATAATAAGAAAATACGAGTAGTTTTCTGGGTAATAAGGCCACTCCAATAAATACCTAATTTTCAAGGAATTTTATTTCTATTATGTTTATAGAAATAAAATCCATAAAAGTTGGTAATAAGAGCAGAATCGTGGAATCAGGATCTGAATATAATTCAAACTAAATTGATTGAAAGAAATTGTGAAAAATAATAACTGAACAACTGAAATATTAACCGTTTAATTAACTATTAGAATAATTCATTAATTGAAAACTGAGGGAAATGAACAATAAAATCTTTATTTTTTTATTTAACAGCTTCGACACTACTAGGTAAGGTGAAATGGGGTAAGTGCAGACTGGTTATTGTAAAGTTGATAATTAAACGTAAGTATTTTCAGTCTGCTATGTAAATACTTAACGCTGTCGATATCAAACGCTTTACACAATTACTACTATTTAATTAATATTAACTAGGACCTTAATTTTCCTTGTACATTTTGATTTTGACAGGAAATTGTTTAAAATATCAATTACTCTGAACTTTCCCCGAAAATGGGGTAAGAGCGAACTTGAAGTTAAATACTTTGAAACTTTATTTCATGTGCAATAGGGCAAGAGCAGAATTATTAACAAATCTGCTATAAAATGCTTTTTACTGCATTATGCAAGTAAGAAATATAAATGGGGATATAGTGAAACTAAACAAGGAAACAAACATACTAAATGGCGAAATTTCGCTCATATTGTAATAAAAATAGCCTACATATGCACTTGTCCCGTTTACGAACTTCCTTTACTTCACCTTAATAAACATACATTATCTAACACCACAAAATACAAACAATTTATCCCTCACTGCTTATTATTAAATTTATTGAAATACAAACCCGTCAGTGTCTTGCAATAACAGAAAATGGACTTGTCCCACTTTCAAGATGAACGACCCAATTATGGAATGTTATGATACACGAAATTAATATACATAATGAACAATAAATACAATGTGATTTCAGATAATGCGATTTCAGTATTGACGGATCAATTTAAGTTAATTTGCAAAATTAATCGTCAAGGAACGTCATAACGGCGAGCGTATAATATTCAGAAGGAAGTAATACTTACACTGTACTTAAAGAACCAGGCGAAAATTGTGTGTTAATAAAATAATCACTATGTTAAGCAATAGAGATGTATAAACGCATGATTTAGTTATCATAGCATACCTGGTTAGTATAATCTTGGTCTTTCCATAAAATGATGCGATGTATTAATAATTAATAGGCATTCATTTTTGCCTGACAAATTTTTCTTTCAAAATTCTTCGCGAATCAGAATTCATTGGTGTAATATTCGGTGATTTCGATCTATTGCTGAAATTTTACCATAAAACTCGATTCTGCCATATCTTTTAAATAACTTTTTATCAAAACATTTTTGACCTATATTGATATCATTTCTGTTTTATTTTTACTTCTTGAATATGCTAGTTTTGTTTTGCAGCAAAGAGTAGAGATATTTGTAGAAAAAACACTTCGTACAGTGACTTCTATTTCGGCAGTGTAAAAAATTCCTATTTTCTCATATTTGTCGAAGCATAGATTTAATATGCAAGCGGACTATTTCAGTTGCAAATTACTTTAAAAGTTTAATTTATACGTTAAGCTTTTAAAAAACTTCTAATAATTCAAATTGTAATAAAGACACTTCGTTTGTCTACCCACATTTTTAAATTAGAATAAATACCAGTAGTTGACATTGTAACATTCATTTCTCCTTGCGACTACTATCAATTTCTTTTTAGTAAATAATTTTGTAGATATATAATTTGACTTATCAACCAATTTTAATAAATTGTACTCATCAATATAAAAAATAGTTTCATTTGAAGAAAATTCTTCAAACTGCACAAGTATGTTACCAAATTAACAGGTTCATAAATAAATAATTAAAAAATAAAACATAATGTTTATTAGAAAACAAAGATATAAGATTTAAAAGCAAATAGTAAGATAAAAGTAAAATGGAAGGTAGATAAAGGTATCAACTATCAACATCATCAAATCATTGATGCAATGACCCCAAATGAATCTGTAAGAGCGATAATGATCAGAATTGGTTTAGGGCTGTCATAAATTAAGGAGTCCCTCAAAGTGTTTCGGAACCAGGTTTGAACGAAACTCGGTCGCATTCACCTTCTTGTCAGTTGATAATTTTCCAGGCCCGTAATAGTGAGATTGTGCTTTTCCGAAAAGTGCAAAGTGGGGATGCGTTCCCCATAAAACCTTAGGAAAAGCACGAGGTCGACGCATTTTGTTGACAACTTTTTAAAGAACAAAGAGAGAAATCGGACGATAAGAATAATATTTGTAATATTTTGTGCGAAGGCATCCTTACAACTCAGCTTAGTATTTTTTGATGTTTCGTATTAATTTCTCTAGCCATTGTCGAATAATGCATTTTACTAAAATCTATGACAAATAAGGGAGAATGATAGGAAAGGTAGCAGGTTGGAAGTCAAAGAAAAAGACATGAAACCGGCGACTTTTGAAAATAGAATTTTCATTAGCTACAGTAGCAAAATACCTATTTACTTAAATATTTGGCTTCACACGTTTACCAGGCTAAGATCGTTTATATTAATATACAATACGTAAAGTGTGCCATATTGGATATGGGCAGTGTCGATGGTAGTACGAGATAAACTTACTCTTTATACGAAATTTACGAGATATAAATATACATATAACATTCATATTTATATATATATATTACTTTACATGCTAGAAATGTAGTACACTAGGCACATGTTTTGAATAGTTATAGAAAAGAAAAAAAAATAGAAACTTACGATGTACACAGAGGGAAAGCAATGGCGGGAAATTCGAATAGGGACAAGTCAAACGAGAAGAAAACCAGGACATCGACGAAAGATGAAAGGAACGGAAGCACGAGGGGACAAAAGAGCGAAGAAAAAGTAAAAGTTAGGAGAAAAAGTCCAAGGAGAACGAGACTGGGATTAGAACAACGAACAACAAGATATTTACGACGGGTGAAAATTTGAAAGGGAATGAAAGAGAATACAGTTCTCTTTATTTCGTCGCTGAACAATTCTTTCTCCCTTTCGTTCGTGTAAATACATGTAATTCGTAACGGCAGTATTAGTGTTCGTTCTTTGAGAAAGGAGGCGAGGGAAAGAATGAAGAAGAAAAAAAGAGAGCAAGAAGAAACTCGTAAGTTCGTGGCTTTCTTTTACGTGTTCTTTATACACACTTGGCAGCGACTTATTCGAGACCTGAGGTTGCCTGCCTTCAAGGTCTGTTTTTCGGGCCTTTGGAATTGTTGCCTATCTTCGATGCTGGCCATCCAAAAGCTGAACTCGTTCGCGTAATAATGGCAGTGTCCTTTGGCGCCGTTGCACTCGATGAACGGCGTCGCACGGAAGTCCTCCAGGCACGATCCAGGACTAGACAGGGATTGTCCTCCACCTTGGGAACCGGCACCCGTGTGCTGAAATAATCACAACATGTTTCAACGATGTGATACAGCGGTGAAAATCGAGATTTTAGGTTTTCACGTAAGATTTCGATAAGTACATCTAATCCTTTAATGCTCACTCTGATTCCACAGGTACAGACCGACGTGAGTTATATGGAATATGCGAAATATTTCGTATATGAACATTCCATGTATGTGGAATTTCATACTTAGAGATTTGGACGATATATTAATATACATATATTATATAAGCCTCCCAAATTTATAATTCTTAACACCTCAATTTCCAGCATCGACATAAATTTTCGCTGATCCTGAATAAATTTTCCATAAACTACTTTTGCACTTCACGAACATAACTTAATAACATCTTAACCCTATTCTATTTTAAATATCTTTTCATAAAGATGTTAATATCCTATCTTAATAGCCTTTATATTATAAATTAATTATATTTACTGCATAAGCTGTTCATGATTTTATTTATCAAAGCTTCCCTCCTCAACAATAAATATTTGAAAAGAATTGAAAGCAGTATACAAATTTTCGATATTTTCGTTCTTCAAGAAAATAAATATAATTCCTAACATTTCTATATTTATATATATTTTTCTTGTCGTCTTACTTTTACTTTGAATATGATTTTCATTATCATCCCTGTCATGTTTACTATCCCCTAACAGTCACACTGGATATGAAACGAACCCAGCCAATTTACCTTCAATTTTAGCCAATTTATATTCTGAAAAGCTGAATAAATATCTTTTTTGAAACTCCAATATTTTTACCATTTTTTCTTTAAATTTATATCTCCAGAATGCTCAACTTAAATTTTTATTATTTATATTAAAATCGTGGAAGTTTGGAATTTTTTTGTAAAAGCTGTCATTTTTCAATTCTTTCGCATTTCTGAATTTTGTTCATATTCAATGTTTGATTGACTGATTGATTTTATAAGGGCCTCGACTGCTATGATCATTGGCCCATTCATTTAAATGACCATTTAAACATTTCAGTGTTTAAATTTACTGAAATCAACTGTGAAATGTCTTGACATAACTTTCAAAGATTATTTAGAAGATTTTTTTAAGTTGTAATAATGAATAAGTTTCGTTGTAAGAAATATTTTTAGCGGCAAGGGTCTTAAACGTTCCAGATTACCAGGTATGTTATTCTGATGAAGTGTAGCCGCTAAGGGTTAAAAATACTATTTCACGAGACTTTTAATGGCTTCAGCGTGAAACTCGGAGCGTTGAAGTACCTGTCTATAATATCTCACAAGTGGTTTCAACAGCTATGATATCGTTGATTATGTTCTGGGAATTCACATAACGAGCAACATTACAAATAAGTTTCGTTGCATCCCATTTCAACAACTGGTTCGTGCCGCGAAATACAATATTCGTGACGCTACGTCATTAAATTAACTCTCATGGGTCACATACGCACAGTGAAATTTCTTTAACAAGAAACTCGAACAAAAACTCGAATTAAATAAAATGCAAATCGGAACGGAACAAAGCGGAAAGTGCATTGTCTCCTGGCAAAATAACGTAAATTCGAACGATAACGGGTTGTTAAAGTTGTTTAAAGTAGAAAATTAAAGAAAATCAATAATGAAAGTTTGCTTTGTTTCTTAACAAGAAGGATTAAGCGATCGTCCTTTTTAGAAAGTCGGTGCTTTATCGATCTAGAATCTGCGCGATAAAAGTTTGAATTGAAAAGCGGAGGAGCTTCGAAAGTAGAATGGATTTTCGTCAGAGAGTTTCAAATGGCAGAGTTGAGGATACGTGGAAAGAGCGTTGAACACGAGATTTGTTGAAGCGTGTTGCGCGTCTCTGGAAAAACGTGTCGCTCTAAAGCGCAACGTTGGTTGTAGGATTTAAAATAAAGGATGCAAAACATTGAAATGCAGGGAACGTCGATGAAAATATTTTTGAACGTTACAAAAGACCTTTTAATTTCGAGTGAAATTAACTTATCGAAGTTTCATTAAGTTACTGAAATTATTGTTCAAAGAAATTTGTGTTGCCTCGTTTTTAGATTTTTTGTAATATATCCATTTTAAATAATAAATGGTGAGCACAGTCGCCATTAACATTAGGCACTTATCAAAAGCTGCATTTTAAAATTTTCAAACAAACAATTGAGTTTCTGAATTTTTTATATTACAAATACTTGAACTAACATTTTATAATTTGCAAACTTTCATCTTTTCACACTTGCAGACATTGCAGTTTTCAAATTTCTTTTACAAATTTGGAAATTTTTGAATTAGACAATTAAAAAATATAGAAATTGTTCAATTCTGTAAATGTAGAAGTCTACAAAATTGTAGGTTTTAAAAGTGGAACAGTTTAGAAATTTCAATATTTATAAACCTCCAAATTTTAACAGTGAAGAATATAGAAATTCAAAAATGTTCAGATTTTATAAATTTACAAATTTATACAGCTATGAGCTCAAAAGTGTAGAACCTTAAAATTTTCATATTTAAATTTACAAATTTTCAGAAATTTAGATAATTCGAAACCTCCATACGCACTTAATGAAAAAATCATATATTTTTTAATTGTAATGAACAGAATGTTTCACATCTTCAAATTCAGATCTTTCAAATTTTCAAATTTTGAAGTTTCTTCATTTTCAAGTTCTCAAGTATTCAAGATTTCAAGATTTCAAGTTTTCAAGTATTCAAGATTTCAAGTTTGCAAGTTTGCAAGTTTTCAAGTTTTCAAGATTTCAAAATCCCAGATTGCAAAATTTCAGATTTTGTAATTTAAGAATGTAGAAACTTCTTAATTCGCAAGCATGTTATAATACAACTGTAATAAACAACGGAGACAATCTTTATGAAGAGAACTGCACATCATTTATATTTCATTTCGCCGATCACAAACCCTTCAAATTATAAGATATCGGTATTTTAAGAACCAATATCTGAAAGAATTCAATAAAAAGTCGAAAATGTTTAATAAGAATAAGAATGTAATTATGCTGAAGAAGCATGTCCTACGTAACTCAACATAGAAAGTGTAAGGTATGATCTAATAAAATTTGTTCATATGTAACTATATTTTCCCGATATTTAATTTGATCCTATTATTAATAAAAAACTTTGTGCAAATTCTTTTTATAAATTCTTTTGTTACTTCAAGAATTAATAGATGTTAGAAATCAATAAATGTAATCAATAATATTATTGTAATATATTATTAATCAGTATCTATTCATACTATTACCGATGCATATACAGTCAGTGTAAAAAGTATTCGTACAGTAATTAATTTCAACAAAAATGTTGTGAAACGTCATTTATTAACAAAATTTGAACAAATAAAAAATACATACATATTCTTAGATGTCTATGTATTCTATGTAAGAATGTGTATGTATTTTTTATTTGTTCAAATTTTGTTAATAAATGACGTTTCACAACATTTTTGTTGAAATTAATTACTGTACGAATACTTTTTACACTGACTGTATATGCATCGGTAATAGTATGAATAGATACTGATTAATAATATATTACAATAATATTATTGATTACATTTATTGATTTCTAACATCTATTAATTCTTGAAGTAACAAAAGAATTTATAAAAAGAATTTGCACAAAGTTTTTTATTAATAATAGGATCAAATTAAATATCGGGAAAATATAGTTACATATGAACAAATTTTATTAGATCATACCTTACACTTTCTATGTTGAGTTACGTAGGACATGCTTCTTCAGCATAATTACATTCTTATTCTTATTAAACATTTTCGACTTTTTATTGAATTCTTTCAGATATTGGTTCTTAAAATACCGATATCTTATAATTTGAAGGGTTTGTGATCGGCGAAATGAAATATAAATGATGTGCAGTTCTCTTCATAAAGATTGTCTCCGTTGTTTATTACAGTTGTATTATAACATGCTTGCGAATTAAGAAGTTTCTACATTCTTAAATTACAAAATCTGAAATTTTGCAATCTGGGATTTTGAAATCTTGAAAACTTGAAAACTTGCAAACTTGCAAACTTGAAATCTTGAATACTTGAAAACTTGAAATCTTGAAATCTTGAATACTTGAGAACTTGAAAATGAAGAAACTTCAAAATTTGAAAATTTGAAAGATCTGAATTTGAAGATGTGAAACATTCTGTTCATTACAATTAAAAAATATATGATTTTTTCATTAAGTGCGTATGGAGGTTTCGAATTATCTAAATTTCTGAAAATTTGTAAATTTAAATATGAAAATTTTAAGGTTCTACACTTTTGAGCTCATAGCTGTATAAATTTGTAAATTTATAAAATCTGAACATTTTTGAATTTCTATATTCTTCACTGTTAAAATTTGGAGGTTTATAAATATTGAAATTTCTAAACTGTTCCACTTTTAAAACCTACAATTTTGTAGACTTCTACATTTACAGAATTGAACAATTTCTATATTTGTTTATCAGACTTTCAGTTAAATTCATCACTTCATAGCTACATTCATATACAGTAATAATACAATATAAACAAAAATGTCCTAGTCGATATAAGTAAAAGTTCAGATTAGGAAGATTTGCTTATACCGAATTACAACTGTATCATGAATGCCACAAAGAACAATAATTAACAATACATTTTCACAACAGTATTGATTATATTTATTAACATCAACCTATTGTCAAATTACCGAAATAGTCACTGAAGATATAATTTTGAGTTTTTAATACAATAATGTGAGCATCATAATCAGTCCGTACTTTGCACCAAGTTTTCTGTATCTTTGATTAGGTTTTCTCTAAAATTTGAGAATCATGACTTTACTTTGTATAAATATATTCTGGCTCTGGGCTCAGGGTTAAAACAATCGAGCTGTGGGCCTTCCATTAATTAACTCATTCGAACAAAACAATAAAAATAATACATGTCATACATTGCATATCGCAGCACAAATGATAGAAAGAACAACCTTTGTTGGGGTTTCTAAAAATTTCCTATAATATATACTATTTCTGTTCTTTAAAGATATACGCCTGATTTGTGAAAATGACCAAAAACCCTTAAATGTATTAATTTCAGAAACACTATATTCGGACCTATAATAGATGAATTCTGACCTAGGTAACAATTTCATGTGTCCCATGGATTCAACTTTGTCTGATATATGTGTACTCAGTTTGATAACAGTCGTATACTCAATTTGATAATGCATAATTTGATGGAACAATGTAAATGTGTAAAATATGTGAAATTTAGATATAAGAAAGTTAATATCCATACCATGACGAAACTGTATCCAATCCAAAGACCGGTCCAACCTTGTGGACACTCTGGAATGCTCAATGACTGACTGTGCACTGCTAATACATTCGCTGGAACTTCACATACCACACACCTGTAAAAAAATAAACGTATTACTCATACAATGTTATCATTAATCACAGCATGAATTTACTGCTAATCATATAAAATTATCGACAAGCAGGGTTGTATTTAATTTTAAAATGGGCACATTCTTCATTTCAAAACGATGCAAATATAAAAAGTTAATGTAGATCAGCATGTTAGTGCTCAACCATAATACATCTTCGATTTATTAGAGGAACTAGAAAATAATATCGTTTCTGCGCATGTCAACATTTGTCATTATGCACTTTAGTGTCGCGCTAAAGACATTTCAAGGTTAAAGTGATTTATTTACTTGTAAATAATTAAATCTTAAATTTTTCTTTGCAAATTTATCTGAAATGGCCAGATGAATAGTACAAAAGGTACATATCCCGTATTGTATACTTTTTGAGTTTCACAAGCGTAGTAACATAATTGCCACTATATTCGCAATGTTTATCCGAGAGACGTAAATGCCAAAGATGGTTTTCCATTTGTTTAGATCGTTACAACACTTTCCAAATGTCAAAAAGTGTGAAAATTTTGATGATATCAAAATGCCATCTCCAGTTATTTTTCTCAAAAACCATTTGATTTTTATCGGTCCAGCATTCAAAATTTGCATCATTGATTAAAAATAAAAACTTGTTAAAATTTTATTTGTTTGAATGTAATATAGAACGACATTATTTTCTGTTCCCTTTACAATTTAAAATCTTTACTATACAAGTCACCGTTCCATAACGAACACCCTGTACATCAAAAAACAATAAATGTCCAATTTTCATGCATTTTCCTATGCAGACCAAATTTACGAGCTATTGAAGGAAAAAACCAGCCCATATTGGCCATCTTTCACACAAATATCTTGTGAATTGATCAACATTCCGCGTTCTACGTAGTCTCCTACGTCACTCAGGATGCAAAATAGAGTTCAAGCAGGTTTCCAAACGAAACAAAGCGATTGTTTGTTGACTGTGTTAAAAAACACTATCCTCAAGAACGAATGGACCGTAGAAAACGTTCGCAACAGTTACGCGAGGCATCTGCAGACATCAGGCACGTTAAATTGCGAGATTAGGTAAAAAGCTTCTTATCCGAGGGAGACCGCGTAGTGGTGATAACAGTGTTTTTCCTAACGGAAACGCCCAACGTACCTGGAGATATATTCTTCTATCGCCGTTTCCTCAACAGGCATCATGGGAATTGGACTATTGGTCGACAGCCAGTAAGAACGATCGTTGCGGCTGGCGTAATGGCAAACGTTGTTGACGTCGCAGAAGAGGAACGGCATCGTCGAGAACTTTCTTACACACGAGCCGGCGTAACCTGTTCCAAAATAATTTATTAAACGGCTGATTCGATCAGCCAGGAGGAAACTATCGAGGTCGAGTTCAGGATATCGAATGAACAGATCGGCTGATCGTTTGTTCCTGGATATATTACGGTGTCAGCGTAGTCCTCCACGCTATAACGAGACCATAACTTAACTCTTTGCAGTCGAAATATTCTTGGAAAATCTTCTACATTTTTAAATGTTGCGACTACAAGGAGTTTCGAGAAAAGACAACAATGATATACTGTCGATCCTCGATATTTTAACGAACTGAAAAATTTAAGCTATCGTTATCCAAATGATGAAAAGGGGAATAAAATGTTCTGATCTTTTGTACCCAAATATAATGTTTCGATGAGGATATGTAAGTAAACTTGCAAATTTTTAAATATCTTTTCTGAATTCTCAAATTTTTGAACTATTTTTTAATTTCCTAATTATCAAATTTATATATCTCCAAAATTTTTCAGTTCATAGGCTACCACAAAATCTATGCTACTAAAACCCTACATATGTAAATTGTTACATTTCTAAATTCCTATTTTCTACAACTTTTTGATCTCCAAATTTCTAGATTTCAGATTCCAATATTTCTAAGTTCCTACACTTCTAAATCCCCAAGTTTCCAAATTTCTGTGTTTCCCAATATCTCTGAATTTCTATGGCCTAAATCACTATAGTTCCATTTTTACATACTTACGTTCCTAAATCTCCAAATTCCTATACATCTAATTTCCTCACTCCTAAATACCTAAATTTCTATATCTCAACATTTCTAAGCCCCTAAATGCTCCAAGTTCTATATCTTCAAATGTCTCCGGTTTGAATCCTTGTATTCTCAAATTGCTGTTTAATTTCAAAGAGTCGAAGTCTTCAAATTGCTACGCTTTCAAATCCCACATCCTCAAATTTCTATATTCCCAAATTCCTTTGTCGCCAAATTCAAATATCTTCAGATTGCTTTGTCCCTGAATTCAGATATCTTCAAATTCCGATACCCTCAAATTATAATATCCTTAAATTCTCACATCCTCAAGTTCCAATATCCCGAAACTGGACTTCCAAATCCCTAGATTCCTATATCCATATCCCTGAAGTAGTCCACAAATTCCTATGCTTAAAAATTCTTAACTTATCTCCGAAAATTCCTAAAATTCAGCAAGTAGAAGTCCTACAATTGGTTACTATATTTTCCATGCGGAAACTAGATTTGTATTTAACTATACTTGCCTAGATCTTGCGAATGTGCTCTTTCATCGCCATCTGTGTACAGTAAGCTGTAACCTTCCCAGAGTTTTATATGTCCTGGTTCACAAACTGGCACCGATTGGCTTTGACTGTGTCTGACCAATAAGATACCAGTGAGATAATCAGGTACCACGTCACACGGTTGTCCAGGTTCACCAGCAGGTCCTGGAAGTCCTACAGGTCCTTGCATTCCTGGCAAGCCACTTGGACCGGTAGGACCTGGTGGACCTGGCAAACCAGTTGGACCTGGAGGTCCTGGAAGTCCCGTTGAACCCTTTATTCCGTTTATTCCTGGGAATCCTTCTGGTCCTGGAAGTCCCTTTTCTCCTGGTGGTCCTGGTGGACCAGGAGGTCCTGTAAAATAATTAATCAATAAATAAGATCGGTACATTCTGTTGTTATTTAATATGTAAATAAAATATGAACTTTATTGCTTAGTACGTTCTAAAGGAAATTGATTCTCATAAAGCCTTTTATCGAGAAACTTGTCAAACAAGTTAAAAGTTTCTGAAAACTTTGACATACTGGCATTTTTTTTTCTTAAACTAACACAATGCAACAGAAAATAATGAAACAATCAAGAAACTTGTTTACCTTTTACGACCTCCGTAAGTAACGCAAAGATAAAAGTTTGTTTAGTATCTTTTATGTTAGCAAGAATAGTATTAAACATAATGCGCTGTCAAGAAATAAAGAACTGCTCAGAAGGGAAGTAAACTGTGGGATAAAGAAGGTGCTTGCGTCAAATAAATTTTTTGTCCTACATTTTTTAGCCGATTGGAATACTTCCTTCTTAAATGAAACAATCCGATCTTACATTTATTTACAGCAATTGTTCAAATTTAAAATCTTTTTAAGACAGTTATTATAATTGCTAATTTTTATATAATTTTATCTAATTACAATTAAAATTCAATTTCTGTTACATTTTATGCCGAAAATACATGTTTGAAAGATCAAAAAAATGCGGAAATATGATGTCTATTTATAATATTGATAGCAATTCATATATTTATTTCATGTTGCTAAAATTTGTTGTTACTTAGTTTCTGATTAAGGATCTATATTTTATAATCAATCAGACCCACATTACTTTCTTCAGCGAGCTTTTCATCTCTATACATTATGCTATCAAGTATTTTCTATATTCCAAAGTTTCAGTTGAGATCAGATTTTTTGACAATCGCAAAAAAACTATACGTACCTGGGTATCCACGATCTCCTTTTGGTCCCATTGGAGGTTCAAGACAGTCCTCGCCCTTATCACCTTTTTCACCTGGATATCCAACAATACCGACTATTCCTGTTGGACCCGGGTATCCTCTGTCACCCTTCTCTCCAGGTCCTCCAGGAGATCCATTCACTCCATCCCAGCCTCTGTCACCCTTCTCTCCAGGAAGTCCGTCCAATCCGTTCAGTCCTGCAAATTATTTGGGATAATTCACAAAATATCCTCTATTCGCATACTTATCAAGTATGAATAACTTTTCGTAAGAATTTTGATAACTGCACGTCTTAATACTATATAAAGATTCATTCTATTTTCATTCGTGTATACAGAGTTATTTATGCATTTACTGTAATATGAAAATTCTACACTAGAATGTCAGTGTTTACCTGGGAATCCTGTGTCTCCTTTTTGTCCTGGAGCACCAGGTAATCCTTGTGGACCCATATCTCCTTTATCACCTTTCTCACCCGGCAAACCTGGCATGCCTTCGAGGCCTGGAAGTCCGTCGCGACCTGGAGTACCAGGAAGACCCGCAGGACCCATATCACCCTTTTCACCCTCTGGACCAATAGGACCATAAGGACCTTGATCTCCTTTGTGACCAGGTAAACCAGGTAATCCTTGCTCTCCTTTCTCTCCCGGTCGTCCTGGTATTCCTTCTCTGCCGTGTTTTCCTGGCATTCCTGGTAAACCTTTTTCACCTTTGATAGTCAATCCTGGCAAACCGGAAGGTCCGCGAGGTCCTTCATCACCTAATACAGTACATTTGGTACGTTAATACTAACCTAGCGATTATTAATAATACGAGTAACTAAAAAATAAGAATTGAGAATTGTACCTTTGGGACCCATATGTCCTGGTGGTCCTGGATTTCCAACTGGACCTGGTGCACCACGGTCTCCTTTTTCACCATCGTATCCAGCAAGACCTTCTAAGCCACGATCACCTTTCTCTCCCGGTATACCTTGACGTCCAGGTATTCCAGGTTCACCTTTCTCGCCTTTCACCTGAACCGTTGGTCCAGGTGGTCCACGGTCACCTTTCTCTCCGGCGCCACCGGGAATGCCAGGAAGACCAACAGCACCTTCATAAATAATTCGATTGCGAATATTATGTATTTAATAGCGTTCACACCGTTTTAAATATTATCAATAGCGTTTGAATGTTTACCTGGATAACCACGCTCTCCCTTAACGCCGTTAAGTCCAGGACGTCCTGGGGCTCCCATTTCACCATCCAAACCAGGGAATCCAATAGGCCCAGGGGGGCCAACATCACCACGTTCGCCAGGTAAACCATCGATTCCAGGTGTTCCTGGTTCACCCGGTGCACCTGGTGGACCCTGTTCACAAAAATTATTCAATTAAATTGAAGCAAAATTTTATAAACCTGTAGAAATATTAGGAAAAGTAACGTACAAAATCTCCTTTAGGCCCAGGGAATCCTCTAACTCCTGTGTCTCCTTTTTGTCCTTGAAGTCCAGGCAATCCATCACGACCTGGTATACCAGGTTCGCCCTTCGGTCCAGGTAATCCATCACGACCAATGCCAGGTATTCCAGCTTCTCCTTTAACGCCATCGATACCATCTCTACCAGCGGGACCCGGTGGACCACGGATCCCTGGTATGCCTGGTTCACCTTTTTGACCTTTCTCTGATACCTGACCCGGTTCTCCCTTACGACCCTAGTAGAATTACACACGAAATTTCATTAATTTGTTTATTAAACTAATGGTATAACCTTAAATACTGTAAATATATTATATACGTATTAATGTATGTATATTACTACAATATGTAATAATATGTATTAATAAGGTATTAGCCATACTGGTTATACTAGTATACTGGTTATACTAGTTATACTAGTATTTTGGAAAAAGGAACTTACTGGCAAACCTGGTGGTCCTCGATCACCTTTAAGTCCTTCCAATCCTATTGGACCCGAAGGACCTGGAGGGCCAGGGAAGCCGTCGTCTCCTTTAGGTCCTGGTAAACCAGGTGGTCCAGGTCTTCCATCCATGCCAGGGAATCCAGCGAAACCAGGCAAACCTTTTTCACCTCGTTCTCCCTTTAATCCAGGTCCACCCTCTGCTCCAGGTCTTCCTTGTAATCCAGGTGGTCCTCGTCTGCCAGGATAACCTTTCGGTCCATCGATACCTGGTTCGCCTCGATCACCTTTCGCACCAGGGAATCCTGGAAGACCAGCTTTACCTGGCTCTCCTGGTAATCCTGGTTCACCTATAATAGCCAATTTATGAAAATTTAAAGCATAGTTGCTAAAAAAGATTCCTCAATGATGAGACTAAATAGCTATATACCTTTCATTCCATCTACACCAGGAATTCCTGCTACACCAGGAGGACCTCGAGGTCCAATTGGTCCAGTATCTCCTTTCTCTCCAGGTGCGCCAGGTAAACCACTTATTCCTGGATTTCCAACGTCGCCCTTTTCGCCTGGTAATCCTTGTAGACCTGGCAGACCATCCTGTCCTTCTTTTCCTGGTGGTCCTGGTAAACCTTTCTCTCCTTTGTCTCCTGGTGGGCCAGGCAAGCCGGGACTACCCTTAACCGATATTCCAGGTTCACCCTTATCTCCTTTCGGTGCTGGAGCACCAGAGAAACCCCGGGGCCCTTCACGTCCTGGCTCACCAGGGAAACCCATAGGTCCCATATTACCCTTGTCTCCGCGAGGACCAGGTAATCCTCGTGGCCCAACTGGTCCAGGCGCACCTATTGGTCCAGGAGGACCGGGAGGTCCCTAATTTGTGAAAATTAATTGTAATCTTTGACATGTTAAAAAATATTACTGTACGAGGTGCGATCATTAAGTTCCGGGATTGGTCCCGTATATGCAGATAAAGTCACGTGTTTCAAATTTGGCTACTATCCCCTTCTAAGTAGTCCCCTTGTGCAGCTGTGCACCGATCCCAGAGCCTCTGCCATTTTTGGAAAGCTTTCTATAGAAGTCTTCTTACTGAAGCGTGTCAAGCACCTGCTGCGATTCGCGTTGAATCACGTCCGCCGTGTCAAATCGGCGACCCTTGAGCTTTAATTTCATTTTGGAAAACAAAAAGAAATAACAGGGTTCCAAATCTGATGAATACGGAGGGTGAGAAAGGACGATAATTTTCCATGTTTCTTTTTTTCTTATGTCCCTCTGTTCCAATTTGGAGTCCATCGTGATTTTGCAAAGGAGAGCGTGCGTATGCTATTATAAACTTATATAACACAGGATTCAATGAAGATATCGCTTCCAAACTTCGTGTCTTCAAAGATTGTTATTCTTATGTTCTGTGAGCGCATGTCAACCATGTCATTCGTTTGGTCACAGCAGACACAATCCCGGAACTTGATGATCGCGCCTCGTAAATAATTAGAATTTTATTAAAGGAAAAACAGTTACAGTGAAGTATACTTACTGAAAGACCTTGCAAGCCTTTATCACCACTTAATCCATCCCTTCCTGGTGGTCCAGGTTCTCCTTTTTCGCCAGGAGCACCTCTATCACCCTTCAAATCCATTGTCAAATTCAGTGGCGGACATGCACCTATTTTTCACAGAAAGTGCAAGATAGTTACGACGATAATGACATTTTAAATAATATATTAATAATAACTATAATAATGTATATTCACCAGGTTCTCCTTTTTGTCCGTATAAACCGGGTTCACCCTTCTGTCCTTCTAGACCTCTTTGACCCGGTGATCCAGGTTCTCCTTTCAGAGTCAGACCACTTTCTCCTTTTCGTCCTGGATTTCCTGGTCTGCCAGGAATACCGTCTTGTCCAGGGAATCCGCGGTCTCCCTAAACACCACAGGAGTAGGATTACAAAAGTGATTTATAACATATCAAGAAGTGCTTTTAGGAACCATCAAACAGATATTATTAATCATGAAACATTAGAACTTACAGCAGTACCCTTACTGCCTGGAAATCCTTCAAAACCGAGTGCACCTTTTTCTCCAGGAGGACCCTCCGGACCTGGTGGACCCATTCTTCCTGGTTCACCTCGTATACCCTTTTCGCCTTTTTCTAACTTAACTTGACTTTCTGAAAAGTATGCTGGTGCACCTGGTTCACCTTGGGGACCCGCTGAACCAGGAATACCATCCTTGCCCTGTTAATAAAAGAAAAATATACCTTCAGACTAATCTTTCAATTAATATTTCTTCATTTAAAACGTTGAAGTGATTTTTTAGTATACCGGTAGTCCTGGTGGTCCAATTTGTCCCGGTAGTCCATCAGAACCTGGTTCTCCAGGAAAACCACGTTCTCCTGGTGGTCCACGTGGTCCAGTAAGACCGGGACTACCATCTAAACCGCGATCTCCTTTAAGTCCTGGTAATCCTGGGAAACAATCCTGACAACGTCCGCCTGCGTCTCCCTTTTCACCTGCAGGTCCTGGATAACCTGGAATACCGTCTTTTCCTGGATTTCCCGGCTCTCCAGGTAAACCTGGTTCACCTGGTGATCCAGGAATTCCGTCCAGAGAATCTCCTGGGAATCCGCGCGGTCCTGAATAACCACGTTCTCCTTTTTGCCCTTTCTCTCCATCTAAACCTGGTGCCCCGTCCATTCCTTTAGGACCCTACATCAACAAGTAATTAAATAAATCATTAATAGTGTTTAATTTGCCGATAACTTATATCACATTGAATTGGCTAAGCTGATTAAGTAACATTAATTTATTTTTTAAATAAATAATTACCACAATCGATAATCCTTTCTCTCCTTGAAGTCCCCGTGGACCGGGTGGACCAGGAGGACCATCAAATCCTCTAGGTCCTATTGGTCCCGGGAATCCTGTGATTCCAGGCTCTCCTTTCGCACCTTTTTCTCCTGGTAATCCTTCGGGACCTGGTATACCTGGCGAACCAGGACCACCAACCAATCCTATAGGACCTCTTGGACCCGGATCTCCCGGGTATCCATCAGCACCACGAGGTCCAGTTGGACCTGGAAAACCTTGAGGTCCTTTTGGTCCTGGGGGACCTGGTGTACCTTTACCACCCTGTAAATATAATTAAGTTGTGACAAATAACAATCCATTATTAGCAAGTATATAAACGGTACTCACTCCTGGTGGACCTGGAGGTCCTCGTAATCCTGGAGTGCCCATAGGTCCATCTCGACCTGGTTCTCCCTTTTTACCAGGACGACCTGGAATTCCGTCTAATCCATCGTAACCTCGATCACCTTTGCGTCCAGGTGGACCTGGGGGTCCGGAGAAACCATCCCTACCCTAAATGTAACAAAAACTTATGTCAGTATTATTACATATGTTTATATCATCAATTGTTCTATAGCAGTACATGAGTCTTATGGGATCTAACAAATTCAGCTGTCGCTGACTTATAATTACTACGAAATTGAAATAACTCAGGCACAACGTGTACTGGTTTAAACTGCATATCTGTTTTTCATATAACCAATTAGCTAATTAATTCAACCAAACTTACACGAATGCCAGGAGCTCCTGGAAGACCTTTCTCTCCTTTCCCGCCTGGAGTTCCAGGTATACCATGATCTCCCATCAAACCTGGTTCTCCTTTTTGCCCTTCCAGTCCCACATCACCCTGCATAAGTAATTAAGAATTATATCGTATTGTTCTAGGAAACACTCTCCAGATATTCTCAGTTTTTAATTAAATACCTTATCTCCCTTTTCACCAGGTTCTCCTTTTTCGCCTGACACTTGCGATGGTATTCCCACAAATGGTATATCAGGACCAGGTGGACCTGGAGGTCCTGGCTGTCCCTTCTGACCTTTGTCACCTTTCGCACCCTCAAATCCGAGACCCATATTTCCTTTTTGTCCTTTTGCGCCACTTATTCCTGGTGCACCCTAGGCAATAATTTTGTACCCTTAATTTACATATTCAATATTGCGTTTTGTTTGGATTTTATTAATGAATCTGCTACGTTGAATGAGTATCGAATGGACACTTACATAAGGACCACGTTCACCTTTCGGTCCAGATATTCCTCGTTCACCTTGAGGTCCAGGTGGACCTGGAGGTCCTCTCACACCATCAATACCTGGTTCTCCTTTCTGACCAGTAGGCATCAGACCAACGTACGCTGGTTCACCTTTGTGTCCTTTTGGACCTGGAGCACCACGAAAACCACGAGGTCCCGGTTCTCCAGGAAGACCTCGAACACCAGGTTCACCCTGAAAGGCAAAATGTCATTTCAATACAATTTGTAATATTCAGGAGTAGTTGAATAATTTGTAGTTACGTATAAAATTTGCAACTAACAATTAGCTGTGAATAACTAATTTTTACTCTTTTATTTCCCTTACTTACGTATTCATGAGGTATCATTATTTTATCAGCTTTCGACAAAATCTCTTTTTAAATATTAGATAATTTATTATTTATAATACACGTACATCTGTTCCGTTGCATCCATCACGACCAGGATATCCAGGGGATCCAGGCGGTCCTTGAACTCCAGGAACACCATTTATACCGGGAAAACCGGGCATACCCATTTTTCCCTAGAGAAAAGCAATGCAATTAGAACAGTTCCAAGTAGCGATTAAAGTAAATTGTTACACAAACGAACGAAGCTACGTACTCTATCACCTTTCGGTCCACGTGGTCCTTGGGGACCAGGGTCACCTTTCTCTCCTTTCGGTCCTAGAAGACCTTCTGTTCCAGGAAATCCTCTTTGACCTTTAGGACCTTGTGGCCCCATTATCCCTGGTGCACCCTGAAATTTACGAAATCGGATATTCGAAGGTTAGGAAATTCGAAGATTATAAAATTTACAATTTGGGAAGTTAGGAAGTTTCATAACTGGGGAATTCGTGAATTGGAAAATTTGAAATTTTGGAAATTCGAATGTTAAATAATTCGGAGATTGGAAAATTTAAACATTAGAAAATTAGAGTATTTCACAACTCAGCAATTCGTGAATTTGAAAAATCGGAATTTCAGAAATTCGGAAAATAGAAGATTTATCAATTAGGAAGTAGGAAAATTTCGCAACTTGGTATTTCGTGAATTTGAATGTTGGAAAAATCGAAAATTCACAAATTTTTTTCAATTCAGAAATTTGTTAACTTGAAGATTCGAAAGTTCCGAAATCTGGAAATTTGAAAGATATATAATTTGAAAATTTGAAAATTCAGAAATGTACAAATTGGGAAATTTTACAACTTAGGAATTCGTGAATTCGAAAATTCAAAAATTTCAAATCAGAATATTTTATAATTCGGAAATCCGGAAATTCGAAAGTTAAATAATTCGAAAATTGGAAAATTCACCTATTAGGGTATTTTACAATTTGAAAATTGTAAACTGAGAAGTTAGGAAATTCAGAAGTGCTACAATTTCAAAATTTCGTTTTAGAAATCATAAAATATAAAAACGTAAAGGAATGAAAGTTCAAAATTTTGAGAATTTGAGGTTTGCAAAATGTAGAAAGCTAATTATTCAATAATTTAGAAGCATATCATGAATTTAAAAATATATTGTGATATTACGTTTGTTGTAATAAATATTCACCCTTGAGCCTTTCTCCGCAAAACATTTCGGCACACAACAAGCAGATCCGGTGCAATTCTTTGGTGGAGATTGTCCTGGAATAGGCACAAGCGAATAGCTGCTCGGATAATTGTCCGAACTTCCAGCTGCACCGTATCCTCCTTGACCTTGCGCGTATCCACCTCCTTGCCTTTGCGAATATCCTCCTTGACTCTGCGAGTATCCTCCTTGACTTTGCGAGTATCCTGTATAACCAGTGGAACCTCGGTCATAACCGCTTCCGGATCCGCGATTTTCTTCGTAACCATCACCATAAGGATCTCTAGAGCCTTGTCCACCTCCAGCTCCTCTACCGTAAGCATCTTCATAACCTCGAGAGCCTCCATAAGGATCGGCAGCACCTTGGTTATAAGGATTCAAATTTTCCTGTCCTTGGCTCTGACCGTAGGTCCTTCGGTCTCCACCTACGTGTAGAAAATTATTCGTGGTTTTGAAAGAATGAACATTAAACGGAAATAAGAATTCTATTAAAGTATGCATAAAGAATAATTCTAGTCAAATAGTAGGTTAAACTTCGTTTTTGAGCAGAATTCTTTTTTATTTGCATAATCGAATATTGTTGGATGATTATAGACTAAAGTGAGTGTCGGAACATATAGAACATGATTTTGAATGTTGGAGTTAGAAGTATTACAATCTAGTTTTCCAATTTTTGTTCAGGTACGTAATTTAACTCTTAACAGTCACTAAAAATTATTTCTACAAGCTACTCATTATTTGAATTTGAAAAAAATTATAAACAATCTTTGAAAGTTATTTTAACATATTTCACAGCATTTCAGTAAAAAATGTTGAATATAAAAAAAATTTTAAGACGTGAAAGAAAAATAGCGACTTCCACAGAAAAATTCGAAACTTTTTCCGATTTTAATATGGACAGCTAAAATTTTAGCTGAACTCTATATAACAGTTTGATATAACAGTTTGAGGGTAAAATAGTAAAAATACCAGGGTTTCAAGGAAGGTATTCAGATTTTCAGAATATTGAGTGTTTAAAAATGAAACTAAATTGGCTGGAATCGTATCAAACCCCAATGTAATTATCCAGGGTTAAGTTTAGAATCATACTAAAAGTATTGATTGGGCTAAAAGTTGTACCGGAAATGTAAGAAATGTTTGTGATAATTTTATTAATCATAAAATCTGCAATTTCTTTTATATCGAATAACTGGCAAGATTTTCTTACAAAGAAAGGCACGCAAGTGTCCCCCTCCGATTTTGATGAAACTTCGTAGGTTTGTTAAGCAGGCAAAAATAAGGGACACGTATTTTTTTTTATCGGCTGAGACGCGGGTTTAAGGGGTGAAACGAGCCCTTAAAGTTTCGACTCCTTTTGGCTATCTCGAAAACCATACGAGATACATTAAAACTTCTAATAGAAAAGTTGTATGGTTTCTTGCGTGTAATAACAGCATGTTAATGAATTTTGCAAAATACAATTTGTTTATAACAAAAAAATTGTTCATAACCTTATTTTACAATTTATTCAAATTTGTATAATGACAAAAAGTGTAGAGAATTTTATTACAAATCCATTGGTATATATATATACAATATTGCCTCCTACAATTTCTCAGATTTTTATCATAAAGGTTCGCGCGCGCGCCCGCATGATACTAAACCGCATCATATTGGACGATATTACACTACCAGTCAACGTCATTTTTAAGCATAAATAAAAAACAATTATATTTGCGTTATACATAACTGTTAATTTTATTAAATTTGTATTACAAAACATTTATTGTTAAAGTACATAGGTATTCTATGTATATGTCAATTTTATAGGTAACGAATAGTTCGAATAAGTTAGGGAACATAATCGTGGCAATAATGTAATAAAAATAATGTAATTAAGTATATGTAATAATTGGTACGTCACGGCATATGTATATGGCATAGTAGTTCATTATGTGATGCATAGCAAAATACGGGATTTTGAAAATGAGGTCTTGACGATATGTATCT